TTTCTGTGGACACAACATCTTTATTTTTATGTGGTGCTGAGGAGCAAACCCAGCGCCCCGCGCATGCCAGGCAAGCGCGTGACCGCTTGAGCCACATCCCCAGCCCTGATGTGGTCTTTAAAAACTGCCCTAATCAATCTTCTTGATCAGTCCATCGGCCTTCACTGGATGTTCAAAGCCATGGTTATCAACGAACTTGACTCCAGATGCAGGTACAGGGGCAGTCTGTGTTGTTTTTAAGAGAAACCTTGGAATGTAAGCTCCATGAGACTTGGGTGGGTTCTGTTTTTTCCTGTTTTGTTCATTAACATGTCAACCACCAAGAAAAGTGTCTGGCCCATAAACAGCACTGAATAATCATTTGCAGAATGAATGAAAAAAATCCAGTCATTAAAAAAAAATAACAAAACAAAACCAGAGCAGAACAACTTGCTCTGTGGCGCACAGGCCTCCCCTCCCCTGCAGGTTCATTCTCTGCACGCCAAGCCCACGTCTTGGTTGCTTTTCTTCCGAATGAAGGTCCTGTGCTTCCCTCTACCCGGGCCCCTGTGCTTGTGCGATGTCTGTGTGGTTTATTCTCCTTGCTTTGGCCTTTTGGTTTGTACGGCTCCAACCTGTCACTGCTTCCTTTATCCCTCGGGTAACCGACAGAAGCCTGCATGAAACCTCTCCTAACCGGGGTCCACAGAGACCCTAGACATTGGCCCCAGAGAGACTCTTCCTGGCACAACGGGGATGACTTTCCTGCTGGTGGGTCCTTGGCACCCGAGAAGGCCCTGGGCCTCTTCCTAGGTCTCTCCTCCTCTGCAGGACGGCCACCAGCCCTCCTCACGTCTCCCTCACGGTAGCTAACCTGTTTGGGGCAGGATTTCTACATTTTGCCTGAATTCCTTCAGTGTCCTCGGTCCGTCCACGTCTGCCTGTGTCCAGTGGCTTTCCACAGGCCTGTGCACACCTGAGCTGGCCCCGCTCTCTCCAGGAGCTCTGGGGTGGGACGCCCTCAATCTTGAGCATCAAAGCTGAAAACCGAGTCCCTCCACAGCCTGTGGGTCTCAGGCTGCAGGGACAAGCAGCCGGGCTGCCCCCACGGTGCTTCAGCCCACGTCGGTGCCCTGAGCACAGGGGTCTTGGCCTCACGCCTCCAGCGGAGGTGGCTTGGTTAGGCTCGATGATTTAGTGAGCTCTTTGCCTGGTGGAACAGGAGCCACCTCACTTACAGAAAGAGAAGCTGCAGGGCCTGCGTGTGCCAATAAGGAAAAGAAGACAGAGCCTTACATGCCCCCAGCCCGTCTTTGAAGGCACAGGTACATATGGAAAGTAAGGTCGAATCTACCATGATTTTAAACTTTCTACAACGAGATCTTATTAGTAGGACAATGATTACAAGATCATCACTATACAATCAATTAAAGTACTTGTTTTCCTATTTACTAATTTAGCTTTCATGGAGGCTTTTTCTGGATATTCATACTTAGGTTACATATGAATATGTATTTTTTAGGACTTACTAACTTTTTCAACTTCAAAACATGTATTTTGGGTAATTAATGATTCCACTGAAAAGTGAGTGTGACGGGGTCTGGGCTTTGCAAACCTCACTGGAATTCCAAATGTAGTTGTCACGATCTCTGTTACACAGTTGGCCACATGACTTCCTGTCCCAGATGCTGACTGTTCTCCCTCCAGGTCCAAATATTGAACATCTCCTTGGCCTTCCTCACTGTTTTTGATCCATGTTTGTTTTAGGAAAGGTGCTATCCATTAAGAGACCCGCCCGGGCCAGTTCCACAGTCCATCTGTCCTAATTCTTGGCCTTCAGTGAACTAAAAATGTGAACTTAAAAAGGGTTTTTATCACAACATTACTTTTAGGTACCAAATCTATCCCCCATGGTGTGGGGCCATGTCCAGCTACTTCTGGGAGAGGACGTGAACACGCATTCCCCTGGGGGCAGTGGGACCAGCTCACCCGGGCAGGCGTCTCCGACTGCTTCACTGTAACGCAGGGACATTCCCACCGCACAGGGCTTCTGCAGATGGAGGCAGCCGAGGCAGGTAGACTCTCAAGGGCAGAGCCTGGCTCTGTTCCTGGCATCAAGAGTCCTCAGCCATCCAGGGGCTGACTGCCTGCATCTGGAGGAGGGCGGGCCAGGTGAGGTGCAGGCCACTCTGCAGCAGGGGGCTGTGATCCTGTCACCAATGCCTCTTCTCCATCTGCCAGTCCCTGCCTTTACCAGGGGGCTGTCCCACCCAGCAGAAGTTCTCTGAGATGCAGGTGCCTCAGTGGTCACCCCTTGGTTGACCCCAGGGTCCCAACAGGCCCAGGTTTGGGAATTGACCTTTTCCCTGTAGCTGCATTTCTAAAATGGTAGAGTTGCTTTCATGCCAAACCTGTGAAGAAGAGTTATGACGAGCAAGAGGCAATTTCCTCCCAAATGACTGTTTCACTTTGCTGGTTTCTGGTACAGTCATGACCTCGGGTAATTCCCATATGAAGTCAATGGTCGCATGTTACATAATAAAGCGAAGTCATTGTTTTTGACCTTCACTTAGGAGTGAATGATCACTGTATCCTCAGAACAAGGTGGAGAAGGCCCTTAGTTCCTTTGACAGCTTTTACACCCAAAGATAAAGCTGTGGTAAAAGTCCACTTAAGCCATGTGATGTGATCTGACAGCCAAGGCCTGCAGCATTACAGTTAAACATAAAGTGCTTATTTAAGGAAAAAACATTTATGAGCATTTTATGCATATTTCCTTCATTTGGAATCTCATTTGAAATCAAGATGATGTGGGTAGTTGATTTTGAAGGCTAATGCTCCTTATTAAAAAGAGGGCTGAAAGAAATATTCGTTCAATTACATGAGAACAGCAATGTTTCCCCTGCTGTGTGGCCATCTTCTCTAGTCGGGGGATTCTGTCTGAGCCTCTGGCTTGTGATGCACAGCCCTGGGGGTGAGGTGCCCGCTGACCAAGGGCAGCGGGAAAGACAGGCAGGCTCTGTGTTGTTTGTTTATTTTGTATCTGTTACAATCAGACTTTAAACATTAAGGAGGGAATATTTCATTTCACTTTATGGACTCTTTGGTCTGGAAAACACCACTGAAGTGATTTGGTTCACACAATGTTTTAAGGGGGAAAACACTGAACCATCATGGTGGCTTTGCTTGCAGTGACCCCACAAATCCAAGGAGGATCGTGGGCTGCATCCCAGGTCCTCGGCATGATCATAGTGCAATGCTGACTTCATTCTGTAAGATGATTCCTCCGGGGAGCAGAGATAATTTGAGTACCAACTCAGACCTTACTTTTAAAGTTTAGTATTCTTTAAGACAATAATGTCAATTTCACCTTTAAAATGACTTCATACTTATCAGAAAATTTTAAGAAATTTACAAGAAGACCATTCCTTGGTCATTTGGAAGTGGGATACTACAGGGTGATTTTGTGTGTTTTTTTTTTTTCTACAAACAAGATCATCTTCTAGCCACAAAATAATCGTGGACATCAGAGGATGAACGTGGACATGTTTCTACCACCTAAGTCCCAAGCCCCATTCAAGTTCTGCCAATTATCCTGTGAACAGTCTTCCATTCCAACAGGACTGGGAAAGGGACCCTGTCCAGGGTCATACATCCGCAGTCTCTTTGACATCCGTGGGCTGACCCTGTGGAAGGTCTCAGGCCTGACACTCTGAGATGTCTCTCAGCTCGCTCTGGGCTGGCTGGCCATTCCACATTATTAGAGTCAGGTCTTGCTCTGAGCAGAAAGACTACAGACGTGAGCTTCGGGGTTCGCTGCGTCTCACCACACAGTTACAGTCTGGATTCTTCTCATGGCAGGTGGTTTTGACCTTGGTCACTTGTTAAGGTGGTGTCTGCCCATGTAAAGTAATTCTTTAGTCCTTCTTTAGTATTTCCTTTGCTATTCATGGAGGATTTGGGGGGTAATACTATAAAGTCATGTAAATATCCCAAAGCTCATTAAAATTTCAGTCACTTGTTTTACCATCTATTTCTTATTTGAATTATTATAAAGATGGTTGCTGAGTATTGATTTTTCTAGTATTGTAATTTTCTCTACATTCACTGTAGGCATTCCAATATAGAGAAACACATTTCTTATCTCCCTTTATATTTAACTTTTTATGAGTATAGGTTAAAGATTAATATGTTATTTAATGATTTACAATGCATTCTTATCACTGTTTATTTGGATGTTGAAACTATCTCATATTTGATCAGTTTGTTGACTCTGTCCTAATTCTGGCACAAAAATACTCCAGGCTCGATTATTTCATATGCATGTGAACACAGCAAGAGAGAGGAGTGGATGCAGACTGTTCCAGCCTTTGATTTAGTCAATTGGCAACTTGGTGCCTTGTCTGGTCCCTGACTGCGTGTTCCAAGTCCACCAGAACTCACTCCTCCCATCCACTGAGAGAGCAGGAGCCAATTTTACCTGACCATGTTAATCTTGCTACAGGGGTTACAAAACATGCTGAATTGGTCATGACCAGTTCATCTTCTGTGCAGGCTGCTCTGTATTTGCTGAGAACTGCTCTACAGTGGCTAGGGGAGGGAAGCTATTAGTGGTAGGTCTATTATGAAAGTGTCCAACAATTGTTGCTTTTTTTTTTTTGTACGAGGGATTGAACCCAGGGTCACTTTACCACCACTGAGCTACATCCCCAGCTCTTTTTATTTTTAGACAGGGTCTCGCTAAGTTGCATAGGTCTTTGCTAAGTTGCTGAGGCTTGTCTTGAACTTGTGATCCTTCTACCTCAGCCTTCCAAGTCGCTGGGATTACAGACATGTGCCAACTATGCTCAACAATGATCGGAAATTTTAAGAATTTATTAAAGAATAAATAATTGTGCTCTCCTTGGTAGCACATTTATTAAAATTAGAACAACACAGAGAAGCTTAGCATTGTCTCTGCACACGGAGAAAATGCGAATTTGTGAAGCAGTCTATATTATTAAAGAAGAAAACAAAAACTATTTATTATTAAAAGTTTTTAAATAATTAAATTATCTATGATTATTCTCTCCCTGCCTTCCTCCAGCCTCCTGCACCTCTACCCTTCTGAACTCAGAATTAAAATGAAAACATTAGGATCCGACCCTTTCCACCTGCACTGAACACAGAGCACCCTCTAGAGGCGGCACTGAGTCAGCATAGTATTTCCAACCTCACAAGGACCTGAGAGCTGGCAGAGCCCCGCAGCCACCTGCAGCCACCTGCAGCCACCTGCAGCCACCTGCAGCACACTGCCTCCCTGTGCCAGCCGGGTTCCTCTGTGCCCATTGTCCTCCTGGGGCTTCGGCTTGTGCATGGGGCATCAGTACAGGGACCTGGCATGTCACAGACACAGAGGAAATAGGCAGGAATCCGGCCAAGAAGGTGGACAGAGCAGGGTCCATGCTTACACGGACTCTCTGTCCAGCCTCTGGGCTTCCCATCAGATGTGCAAATACAAGTTCCAGACACTTGTTTAAATCATTAAACCACATAAAACTAAAGACATATTCCTTGCCTGGGGACAGTGCCAGTTTAAATCTTCTCTGAGCCACCCCTCTTTCTTCTTCTCCCTTCCAAGACCTCCCTGTTAATGTCTCCTGTTACTGAAGTGAGGAAACGCCAGAGCTCACTCCTCTAAGACACACACACACACACACACACACACAGGATCTCCTCATCGAGCAGTTTGTTTCTCTCTGAACTAGCTGGAGACATACTTAAGAGTACAAATCATAGCAACAACAAACTAAAGACAGGAACTTGCTACTTCCCCTAGGCTTTTAGACGACCCTTTTACTTCTGGGTCATGGAGTTGGTTGTGATCCCGGGTCTTTGAGCATCTGGAAATATTTCCATCAGAGAAGATCCTACTCTCAACTTTTCTTGTTTCATATTCGAAAATATGCTTTGTTCTGCCTCTTTAAAAACAAAACAAAACATGGCTTAGGACCTAGGATCAAAGCATACACGTGGCTCAGGCAGTGGGCGGAGGAAGCGTGGCCGTGGGGGTGGAGGACGTGGGGGGAGGGGCTCTGGCCACTGAAGCCCTGCCAGCTTCGCCTCTGTCCTCGGCCGGGAGGAGCCCCCTCCCTCCCCTCTGGACTCGGCTCAGGCTGGGTGTCTTCAAGTTGCTCCAAGATGTGGCAACCTGTTGTGTCTGTGGGGGGTGATTATTTTCTTCAGGATGTGATCATCTTTTCTGCCAGATGAGATTCCACAAGTTACCACATCTGGGTGAAATTTAAGTCACCAGATAATCCTTGGAGGACCCACTAAACAATGGCATTCACAGGCCTGCAGCATTTGACAACCTCTGGAGACTTCTCTAGTGTTGACCTTTGAACTAATCGCGGAGTTAAGGGCTACACGTGCACCTGAAGACCTCTCAGCCACTTCCCGGTCCTCCCTGGCTGCCCCTTGGGGTCACCAGACAGGTTGTCACTTCTGATGTGAGCAAGAGAAGAGCAGTTGGTAGTCCCATGTGGTTTTTTACGTTTCGTCGTCAGGTTGACTTAACCCTCTACACAGCCTGCAATATGCTGGACGTGTGGACCCCGCCTCCCCGAGTCTCTGGGAGAATGTTGGGTGCCAGGCAGAGCCTTAGCCAAGAGCCACCGTTGCCGTCACCAGGCCTGGCTCCTGGCTGGCGCTGTGGGGCTCTGCAGCCTTCCTGACTCCTGGCTGGCACTCGGGTGACCAGGCCAGCAGGGCTCACAGAAGCCAAGGGAGCTACTCCAGGTCCCACGTCTGACTCTCAGGGAGAACTGGCCGCCTGTGGCGTCACCGTGCTGTCTCAGGGACAGTGGCGCAGCTCCTCAGTGACAATGACGCTGGCCATGGCAGTGCCACGAGGCAGGAGAGCAGTGCAAGTCTGGGCAGGGTGGCCCCGGGCTATGCCCTCCCGTCTTCCCGCCCTTCCGCTTGGTTTCCAGAGGGGTTCCTGAGCCCACAGACCCTGCCCCTGCCACAGGGTCCACTATGAGACCACTCTCCAAACCCCAACTACCACCACGTGTGGGGCTCTGCCTCCTCACTGTCACTGTTCCTCCCTGTGGTGGCCAAGGTCAAGGACATGGTGGTCACCACCCTGAGCCTTACACTGTGTCAAGTCCAGGATCCAACTTCTCCCTTGAGGGCCCCCCTGCTATGGCGGGGGCTGAATCATGAACCATGTGCTGAACCATGCTGGAAACAGAGGGGCCAGGCCAGCTCTGAGGCCAGCTCTGAGCATGCAGGCCAGCAGTCACGCTGCCTGCTCCTGTCCCAAAGGAGCGGGCAGGGTGACTGCTGGCCTGCATGCTCACTGTCACTCACAACAAAGCAGTTAGGAGCATCCCACAGCTGAGGAGCACGGGGCAGGCTGTTCTTGCAAAAGCAGCACTCGCACTCGGTGGCTCTGCTGAATACTGAGGAGCATGTGTAGTTGGGACAAGGGCGAGGCCGCCACCAGGCAGCATGCGCTGAGCCCCAGTGTCCATTCTGAAGCTGTGCTCAGGGCTCGGGGCCTGTTGGGCTGCACTCCAGCTGGTCACTCCCGAGCTCCAGGCTATTTGCCAACTTTCTACTGACATTACTAATGGTCAGACTGGACTCGACATCTGGGTGTTTTGAGTTAACCTCACCTGAGGTCTCTCTTCTCAATGACAGGTGCTGTGGCAGCCCTACTGGGTGCCAGGGGACAGAGCAATGAGTAAAGATGTATATGGGGTTGGGGAAGAGGACAGTAAATAGGAAGTGAGAATCATAGCAACGTCTAAGAAGAAAGCAAATGGAGCCGTGGGGCAGTCGTGGTGGTGCGACACTCCAGGTGCTCAGCAGCCTTTCCAGAGAGAGCGACACCGGGGCCAGGGCCTGCAGGATGTGGGAGCAGTCCTACGGAAGCAGCAGCAAAGGCTGAGGCGCTGGGGGCAGCTGGGGCCTTCCCTGAGCCAGGATGGGCCACCTGGCTGGAAGCAGGAAGAGAGGAATCGGAGAGAGCAAGGGCCAGGCCGCTGTCTCGGCCACATTTCAGACCCTGTCTAAAACTGCTGGGCAGCACGTTCCCCACAGAGGGGGAGGGACCACGAGCATTGTGACCCCTCGGCAGGTGAGTCCAGGTCAGAAGCCACCAGGAGCTGCCTCAAGGCCTAACATCCACTCTAGCCCAGTTCTGCGGACTTGAGAATCCGTGAATCTGGAGGATGTGGGGAGCCTACTAAAGGGATGTCACCGTGCTCCTTAGAGGGTCCTGGGAAAGCTCCAGTGTGCACCCAAGCCCCACACTGTGCAGGCACAACGTTTGGGCCACAGAAGATTGACGGCAGAACCAGAAGCCAGAGATTGATGGTGGGATTGATGCAGGACACGGGCACAGGAATCTCACAGCCTGCAGGAACAACGAGCACGAATATGAGGTTGAGCTTCTTATTTAGAGTTGTGGGTTTTTTTTTTTTAAATTACAAAAAAGCCAAGCAAAACTAGCTCTATGACAAAAGAGGGAAAGAGAATCCATTACAGAGATCTGAGGAGGTCCACAGAGCCCCAGGCAGGGAGCAGCACCCCTGGGGGGGTCATGAACTGGACATTGGGGAGACACCTTGTACCTCCTAGCTCTGCCCCTTCCCTCCTGCTTCATTCTGGCACCTTCTGTCCACAGGAGAGGACCTTGCTGGCCAGGCTGGGGCCAGCTGTTTAGCACGCCCAGTGGCTCAAGGAAGGGAGGTCAGTAGCACTGACAGCCTGGCCGCAGAGCCTCCCCTAACCAAGCGGCCGCTGCTGCACCAGCAGCTTCCCTCTGAAGTGTGTTTTGAGAGAGATTGGGAACTACTCCAGCAGGTGCTCTCTGCCGTGGGTCAGAGAAATAGCCAGGCAGCAGAAGCAGAGGAAGCAAACCCACACGACTGACGCATTGCTCTGGAGTTGTGCTTTTAGTGAGAAACCTCTCCTCCACACCCACCTGGTACAAGGGGAAGGCAAATGGACCTGAGTCCAAGGTCTGGGCTGGGTCTCAGGGACGGGCCTCTTGCCCGACAGGGTTCCCTCTGTTCTTACCAGGATGAGGCAGTGGGACTAGTCCTCCTCCAGGTCGCTCCCAGGTGCTCCTGGGCTAGGCTAAGCATTTCCATTTGGCAGCTGGAATTGCTTAGGAATTTGTCCTCAGGTTAGTCGCAGGTATTCAGAGACGGTAAGGAGACAGGCTGTGCTTCAGATCGTCTGATTCCAGGCTCAGGCCCTTGAATGCACCTAAGTTCATGAATTTCCTAAGCCCAAGTTTGCTTCCCCTAAACCCTGGAGAGGAACCAGGCACAGGTGCCACCTGCAGCGCGAACTCACAGCCCTACATAGTTCTTCATGACCTTGTCACATGTGACTTTCCCTTGTCCCCGGGGCAGGTGCGAGAGCGTGGAGCTGGACAATAAAATCCGGGATCTGATAGAGAGAAATGCTTCTCTTGATCCAAAAGGGGTCCCCCCAGAGGCCACGCTGAGTCACAGGAATGCATGTCCTCCAAAGGTAAGAAAGCTTCCTCCACAAATCTCCGTGCCCGACTGCTGGCTCAAGGAGGAGTGTGCGGGGACAGTCCCCACGTTCACTGCAGGCAGCCCTTCCTGAAGGGCCAGGTGCTGAGCACCACAGGACTTCCCTTTCAGTCGCTTCCTGCTGCTGAGAGTCCTGGGCGGAGGCCCCTCCAGGCAGGAGCAGGACCCGAGGTGGGGTCCCCAGGAGCAGGCGTTCCTGGAGGCAGGGCTGGGCTCCGCAGCCCGCACTGCTCCTGCCTTGCTTTGTGCTTCTGTTGTTGTCGTTGTTCTTTGCTTGAAAGTCAAAGGTGTTTGAATTTCCTCTTTGCAGATGTTCATCTGTGGTACTTTGTTTAAGCAAATAAAATTCAAGACTCAGCTTGAGCTAAGAATTCTGTGGACCACCATCTAGAAACACATGATAAGGGCCCCCTGAACTCTTCTGCTCCCTGATGGTTCTAGGGTCGTCTGCCATGACCACCTACTTAGTGGTCACCAGAGACTGTAATGAGGGTGGAGTCGAGAGCACACCTGGCATAAAGAGTTTATACCTACCAGTAACTTCAGCTCTCCTTTCTCAGGTAAGGTGTGCACGTGGCAGGTGCAGATCACCGAGGGACTTTTCTGTGGTGCTGGTGGACCTTGGTCTCCCTGAACAAATGTTTGCTCTTACAGCTAGCTTGCGTCCACACCTGTTACCTCGTCTCTTAAAGGAAGTCTCAGAACGGCACCAACCTTGGGTCTGCCCTGACATCACCAGGGGACACCCCACTCCTGGGCATCTCTGCACTGGCAGCCTGCGCATGCTTCTCTCTGTCTCACACACACACACACACACTCACACGCACACACACTTACACACACTCACACCCACCTGCTTTTAATCCCCAGTACCCGGGCCCTCGGGCCCCGTGGCTGTCACCCTCCAAGTCCCACGTGCTCCCGACAGCCTCCCGCCCTCAGGACTCTCCAGCTGGACCTTCCTTACCGGTGACACCTCTCTGCACGCTCTTTGCCAGCCTCAGGCTCGCTCATACGTCACGTCTGCTTCTGGGGCTTCATGGAGAGGCGTCTCCACACCTCATAGATGAAGTGAGCGCCTCGGGAGGCGCAGGGCGGGCTGTTCCCAGCCGCCAGCTGGTGTTTCCCGTCCTCCTCATGAAGTACGAGGAAAGACCCCCAGAGGGTGAGCGCCGAGCCGTGGCTGAGGAGACTCAGGGAGCTGGAAGGGGCCTGGGGAGGCGGGGGAGGGGAGTGGACCACGGGAGCCTCAGGTGGCAGGGGCCCTGGGCTGAGGAGGGACACACCCCTTACAGCCAGTCGCCAAGCCACACCGGGGCCTGTGCCTTAGCATCTCCATCACCTGCCAGTCAACGTTGTGCTTGACGGTCCACTGAGCCCCAGAGAGACCACATCACCTCCCGGGCAGTGTCGGGCACTCCCTTACCATAGCTGAACTGATGGCCGTGCCGGGCTCTCCCCGCCATCACAGGGCTGTAACCCCGACCCGAGGCACAGTGGCCTGGCACCTCCGTCTCTCTCATCTCCTCATGTGCACGTGCCACCACCTACTGACTCAACCTGCTCCAAAACCCTGCTCACCGGCACGGGCCATGCAGATCCCCAAACACCCTGTCCCCTCTGGCCTCTCCTGCCCACTCGCCCGTCTGGCTTCCCTCGAGTCGCCTGCCTGCTCCCTTGGAGGGCTCAGGCCCTGTCCACGTCATGGGACACAGGCTGAGGCCCGACGTGTGCTGGGTGAACCTGTCTTCCCCACTGGCCCCGGGGCCTGGAGGAGGATCTGTCTGCTCCCTGAAGGCACTGAGTTCCACGGCAGGTTTTTTTGGAAGACAACAATAGTGAACCACTAGCTTGACTTCGTGAGCCACGGTCAAGCTAGACGTGCCATCAATTCGCCCCTAGAATTCCCCTAGAGTGCTCGGAGTCTGCCGGGGAAGTGGCAGGAACAGGGACTCAGAGACCCACTGCTCACTCTTGGCTGGGGCCACTGTGTGGTCTTTCCTGTTCTGATGCTGAAGTCACTGACTGCCAGGGGTTCGGATGCTCACTGGTCATTGCTGCCTGTAGATGAGATTTGTGCCAAGCTCCGGAGCACTGGTGGGTGCCCCTGGCTGTGCCAACCCTGCCTGGGTGAGATATGTCCTCCTGAGCCCCCAGGTCACCACACACGGGTGCTCCCTGCCCTGGAATAGATACTCATTCCCTGCGTGCACCTGGGAGTTCCAGTGTCTGCCGAAGGACGCGTCACCTCCTCTTGGTCTCCCATCACAGGGGCTTTAGCTGCTGCTGTTCAGTACCCACTCTGGGCCAGCATCCTGCAGAACATTCCTCTACGTCCAGCTGTTCAACCCTGACCCCCTGCAGATGGGAAGCTCAGGTTCAAGGAGGTTGAGATATTTCCTCATGGGCTGATAGGATGGAGAGTCTGGACCTCGACTCAAATGGGACCAAGTGGAAGCATCGCCCTGCTCTTCCTGCTTCCCTCACATCAGGGCCATCTGGGAGCTGGGCCAGAGCTCAAGCAGATGCAGAGGATGCTGTCATCAGAGTGGACCCCACCCAGGGCCTAACACACCACACTCGATCCAGCCACTGTGGCCTGCCCGTCTTCCTGGGTCTGTCCTCCCAGAGCAGCCAAGGGAGTCTGCAACCTCCTCCCTCCATCCCTCCAGCACCTTCCTCGATCTTCCTCCCCAGGTGTCTCCACGTATTTGATTCCAGAGCGAACCCTGCTCTGCCTGCTGGAACCTACAGCGACCCTCTGTGCAGGGGAGTGCTGCGCTCAGGACAGAGCAGACCTTCACTTTCTCGCTGAGGTCCTGATAGAACCGAAACAGGTGCAAGAAGACTCCTGTTTGGGTGAAACAAGTGAGAGCCAGCCGAGGGCGGGTTCGGGACAGTGGAGGGCTCCTCCGCTTTCCCACTGAATGGAGTCAGCGTAGGAGTGGGAGGCAGACTCCTTTTCCGGGAGCTGGGAATCGGTTTCTTCATGGCTCCACGAGATGGGAAGGGGGTAGCGGAATGGAGAAATGACCTGATGAAGGGGCCTGAGCCGCGTGGAGTTCCCTTTTCACTAACCAGCGTTGCCAAGAAGGAGTGGAGAGGGGGTCAGAACCGAGAAGGAAGCCGGATGACTCATGGCTTCCAGGAAATGAGCAGCATTACTGATGAAGAGGAGAAAGTCCACCCGCACCGAAGTGCCTGGGGTGCTGTAGCAAGCAGCCGCAGGAGGTCAGTGCACAGAGGTCAGCCCGAGTCTCGGTGGCTGAGGAAAGGCAGCTGCCTCAGTGCATCGGTGTCAAGATTGCCAAGTGTATGAAAAATAGGCCTGGTGACAAAGAGGAAGAGGGACAAAAGAAAAGAAAAGTGGGTGGTTCTCCTTGATGGAAGGCTCTAATCCGTTCCTGAGGGTGTGGCATGAATTTGGAGGATGCGTGGGTCTCTGATAGAGTTCAGAGGGACCGTCGGCTCTACAGCCTGAGTGCAGGAGCTACTGCTCCTCAAGTCCACTACCTGCATAGTCGTAGGTGTGACTTCACAGTGTCCTTCGCAGACGTCGACAGTTAAGATCCAGAATGCCCGTCAGTGGAGGAATCATGAGGACACAGGTGGATGAAGTCTTCGTTAGAGGACAATGGCTGTCATAAAACAGGGGCTCCTGGGCGGAGGGCAGGAAGACTCCAAGTCGTGCTTGGTGTGAAGGGTTAGGGTCCCTGGGCTAGAGCATGTTCACGGAATTCTGTCCTGATGCCATTTGTTTTTTATTTTTACCAGGGATTGAACTCGGGGGCACTCGGCCCCTGAGCCGCATCTGCAGCCCTATTTTGTATTTTATTTAGAGACGGGGTCCATTAGCACCTTGCTTTTGCCAAGGCTGGCTTTGAACTCGGGATCTTCCTGAGCTGCTGGATCACAGGGGTGCACCACCACACCCGGCCTGACGTTATTTTAAAGATACGATTTTATTGCCAAAATATTATATTTTATGCATCCTATTCTTAGTCATACCCATCCCAAGACACATCAGTTTGTATAATTAAAGAACAATCGAGAGTGACAAATGCCCCCAAATTGGGGCGACTAGTTTACAAATCAGTGCTCTAGATATGCTTTCGGACGGAGTCTCGGGAACAGGCAGCGTGGTCTCTGTGTCAAAGCACCTGTGCTCTGCTCCGCACATCTCCACCTTCTCCTGGGCACCCTCAAGTCCACTACTCGCAGCCGTGCTGAGGCCAAATGCACGGCCAGCCACCGCCCTTGATTAGCTGCCCTCAGGGAAGTAAAGGGGGAAAAAAGATCGCGAAGTGTACGATGAGTGGACACCACACCCAGCAAGACACATCCTGATGCCGTGGCAAACTGACACACCAACCTGCAGGTGCCCTCCATGAGACAGCAAGGACAGCGTCCTGAAGCACTTCTCCTGACAGGCCGTTTCCGTCAGCGCTGGGACACCGCGCAACCTGGGGCGGGCGTGAGGTGCCCGGGTTTAAGGAGAACCAACAGAGTTGAGTTGTCTGAGAATCTGGTCTGCCTTGGGACTCTTTCTCCCTTTCTTTCTTTTTCTCCTTTCTCTCTCTCTCTCTCCCTTCCTGTCTTCTTTGGGTTTTGACTTGGAGGCAGATATCAGCTTTGAGTAAGTTTGGATTGGGCTCAAATGGGGAGGATGTTGGGTGGATGCGAACCTCCGTCTGGACAGCCCCCATCTCCCCGGGCCTAGAGGAAGTGCTTTCAGTAGTTCAGAGTGCCCCGGCCCCGGTGTGCTCAGAGGGTACAGGGAAACTCGCAAACTACGGGAAGGCACCACACGCTTTTCTGTAACCACATTGTTGAAAAAATGTACCTGGTTTCTCTTTTCTTTTTCCCTACTTTTAAACCTAAATCAACCATTTTTCATCAAAATAAGAACTTGATAATCCATCCCATCTCCCTAATCCAAGACCAGTTTCCAGGAGCAAAGAAAGGTGATTTGTT